GCTCTACCAGGTGGGACAGCCCTGCTACAGAAGCTTCTCTGCTTGGTCAACATACGTCAGCGCTGCACCCTGCTAATTCATGATGCCTCTACAGGGCCCTGGCAAGGACTAGGTAAGTATAATGTATGATTATCATATGTATGAAGAGCCATTAAGTAAAGTCCAAGGAGCTGAGCAATCTGCCTACCTGGAAAAAGGCCAAAAACTTGAAGTTGGGAATTAAAGAAAGTGCCAGCTGGTAAGTAATATAAACTTGACCTGCTGCTCTGCTTTGATATGGGGACTAGAAACCAAAGAAAAGTGTCAAGAAGGCCCATGCCTATAGGAAGATGTCCCGGGTTATCTAGCCCACACTCCAGGAAAACATCACTGGGTTTTGCTAGCCCTACTTATTCAGAGTGCACCCATAGAATGACAGGGTGGGCAGTGTTGGGGAGCCAGGTAGTAGAGCAGACTGTGGTCCCAGTATGCTGTTGCATATAGATAAAATATTCTGACCTAACTAGACAGTGTGTGTTTCTAACAAAAAGTCTTGAGACTGTCCCCAGCATGTTCTCATGAGGAAAAAGTCACTTCCTGCCCCCAGAGGATGCTGCCCTCCATGGTCAGTCTTTCATGCAGGTGCTCTTGGATAGAAAACAATCTGTCCAATTCTAATTCTCTCCTTCTCAGAAGAGCTGTTTTCAAAATGCTAATTCCCAGGCATTGATATGGGAGAAGCCTGGCACCAATATGAAAACCAATCAAAGAACATCATCAACCAAAGACCTGTATTACAGAAAAGTTAAACATTTACCAAAGTAGAGAGAACACTACAATGAACTCTATGTACCCATCACTCAGCTTGAATGGCCAACTTTGCCTCAAATATTTAAGTCTTTTCCATTTCCCTTCTTCCCTGCACTCAAGAATGAGAAAACAAATCTTGTACAATATAACATGATATCTATATTTCAGCATAGCTCTTAATAAATATGGGTTTCATTATTCAAAAAGAACCACAATACAATTATCCCAAGAGAAATTATTTATTCCTTTGTAGAACAATGTATAATCAATATTTAAATGTGCTTGTTTGCCTTATAACTATGTATTTAATAGTTTTAGTTTCTTTTAAATCAGAAAGAAAGAATACAGTGAAAGTAGTGATAATTTTTCTCAGTCTGTTTAATCATTAGTCATAGGCAATCTCTTTCCTCTTTTCTCCTTCCATTCTTCCTTTCCAAAATCTTTCCCTGCCTCCTTTTCCCTTTTCTTGAGATTCATTTGAGGAAGAAAATAGATCACTTTTCCAAAGTCCCAGTGGATTTTGCTGATTATCCCCATGGTGTCATTTAATATCTTTTTCTTGTTTCCTGCATTCTTTGTAAGTAGCAAGCTAGATTTGGAACAAGAATTGGCAAACTATTTTTTGAAAATGTTAGATAATAAATATTTTCAGCTTGGAAGCTGTATGGTTCCTGTTTCAGCTGCTCAACTTTGCTATAGACAATATATATGTAACCATTGACAATATATAACTAAACACATGAGCTGTGTAAATAAAACTTTATGAAACCAGGCAACAGGGCAGATTGGCCTGAAGGACATTACCTGGTGACTTCGCATTTATAGGTTTGATCAGACACAGATGTAAGCGTTCAACAGACAATATTGTGTACTTCTATCAGGTAGCCTACAATGTCTGGTTGTCCCTGTTTTGGTAACTTTAGCAGCCACTGGGGATTACCTCTTGATCTAGTCTATCACTATCGGCTTCAAAATTGTGATATTCTTCACTTCTTTGGCAGTTATTAGCTGAAGTATTTCTCTAATGAGAAACTTTGCTTCACCAATCTAGTTACCCTGAGAGAGAACTCATAAAGAAAGAGCAGAAAAAATAATTATTTTTTTGTAAACAATTTTGAAAGTGATGAATGAGTTACTTAGCACTCTCCAAAGGCAAGCAATGCAAGATTTTTTTCATTAGTATCATTAGGAATTCTTCGATTTGAAAATTACTTAATGCATTTTGCCCATTGTGGTTATTATTTCTATTGGTGCTCCAATCGCCCCATCGGTAGTCAGTGGGAGCCTCTTCAAGTCAGCTTCTGAGTCCTCTGTATGCACCCTCGCTCCATTACAGCATGGATTTGCTGTTACCCACTCTATTAAGATTCTCTAGTCCAATCTTGTATACTTTCTACTTTAAGCTAATCAGAGATATCTCCAAGGATTTATAAGTAGAGAAGCTCATTACTACCTGATTAGTTTCTAGGCTATTCTAGTGATTGTAATAGGAAGTGTGTATTTTTAAGAAGTGTGTATTTATTGAAGATGAATTGTAAATTTATATTCATTCGTAGTGATACTTCTAATTCTAATTTGAATTAATCTCTATCTTACTTCTTTCTCCCATACCAAAAATTCAGTTCCCAAAGATGCATAGGTAATTCTTCAATTGGTATATTGCCCCTAAAATTCTAGCCAAGATTAAGAAGACTGAGCTGAAGAACCCCTTAAGACAGTTATAAAGAATTTAATTTCATAAAAAGAACTTTTTCCATTTTTTGACTCTTCTATATACCCTGCTGGGTCTTAGATCCTTAATAAGTAGGCACAATCATCCTATAATAATGCCTCCAACCGGGAGGAATGGGGTTCCTCGGTCTCAGGGGGGTAAAAAGGTGAAAATGAAGCATATTTTATGTGCTATCACATCCTGTTTCCATAGCCCTGTGTGGGGTGACTCTGTCAGTTAAATGTTAATTGCCCACTCTTCTTTGACTATGCAGGGGACAAAAATCCACTTCTGAACAAAAAATTATTGCAAGCAAAAGATTATATCAGAAAGAGGGGCAAACAGAGGTCACAATCTTCTTATTTAGGTTTACATATTCTTTCTGTATTCACATAAAAATATATTAATACATTGTAACACTACATATTTTAATAATGAACAAAAATAAAATATCATCTACAGAATATATATGCATAGAATACATTCTATATTCAGTAGTTATACACTAAGGGCTTACCACATACCAGGCAGTGTGCCATACCCTGAGGAAGTGAAGATAAATAAAAGACACTCAAACCTTCGGGGGACACAGTAATACAACGCAAATAAAAAGCTATTTAAAACACAGTGATATAAGTGGAAAAGTGATTCAAGCATAGAGAAAGGGGCAATTAATTCCAGACAGGGAGAATTATGGAAGGTTTTAATGTAGGAGCTGACTTCTCAGTTCAGTGGTGAAGATAGGAAGCAGTTAGACATCTCACACGGAAAGTGCACTGGGCACTCAGCAGCCAGGGCCATCTCTCTGGTCACAGGATGTACACCAGAAGGGTGCAAACCACCTTCACGAGAGCTGACTCCAGCCTGGGGCAGCCTGCAGAGGAATGGGGTGGTGTCCCTGCTGATCGCGAGCGGAGCCCTAGCTGAAGTTGTGTGTTCCTCTTTGCCGGCCTGAGGGTTCACACCAGTATCTACTGACTGAAAAACTTACAAGATCAGAGAAGGAGACCATGGCGATCTTCACAGGAGAAATGAATCTGTCTCTTAACCAAGCTGAAAATAAGAATAAGTTTGTTCCCCATGATTCTCTCACTTGAGCTTCCAGAACACCTCTACTTCCACATCAATCCTTGTTTTTCTTCCCTGCACCACGAGCAACATAAGGCAGAACTCTAATAAGAGATTCTCCCATGATGCAGAGGGAAAAGACGAGAGGTGGGCAGATAGGGTGCAATTTAACAAAAGGAAATCTCTTTGCCATCAGGGAGGAAAGAGAGCACAGAAGGGATACAAAACCGAAAACGTGAGTAATAAAAAATTAAAAGATTTGCTTTAAGGACATGCACTCGTGGAAAATCACTGAGAGGAGGAGAGTGAAAGCCGCCTTGGAGCATTAGAAAGTTTTTAGCAGATACTTCTAACTCATAAAACTAGGATTTCTGATAAAATAAGTTTGTGTACAAACTGGATTATTCCGAATACCACTTTAATAAGAATATAAAAAAAACAAGCAACATGTAATATTTTTCATGAGAGATTTGAGCTTCTGTCTTTTTAAAAGATACCTATTGGTATTCAGGATACAGTATGTAAATATCATAAAATAAATATCTGAGGTCTCTTCCACTTCTGTTTCAATCTCCTCTAGCTCTGCTTCTTGGTCCTATTTGCCAACACAATGCGTGAAAGCAATCTTGCTCTCTGATCTCTGGAGAGATAGGGTTTGTGCTTTGTTTACCTGCAGCTGTGCCTTCCCTTTCTATGATACTCTCTTTAGTCTGAGCATGCGTCAGTGGTGCCCAGCACGGCTGCTGTAAGGCAACAAAGCAAAATCATTCTGTTTTCCTTTCTTATCAAAGAGCCCATCATATTTCCAGAATAATGAGGAAGCCCATGCTTAAGATGGGATGCATTAAAGGGAAAGGAAATCTCAAAGGAAAAGTTCACTGGCAGCAAAGATTATGCCAAAATTTAAGTACATGGGGAAACTTTTTGAAAAACTAAGCATGGTCTGAACTGCCTGTATCTTGGGCCTTTTGAGGACTGGAGAATAGGAGCACTTGAAGTTTAGGGGATTATAGAATGTTAAAGATGGACATATGCTTGTAAAGTTCATTCAGCTCTCACAGAGGATCAAAATCCAATTGTTAACTGACTTTTCTCAGAGTGTAAGCCTCAATTTATTGAATAATCTTCTAATACAATACTGGGATAGAATCCTCTAAAACAAGCTAAAATACACACACTTTAAGTTAAACATATATAGGAATGTTTAATCTTTGAAAAGCATCATACTGAAATAACTGTCTGTTAGTCATCTGAAAATAACAGCCACAGAAATAAAGGTGAGAAGTAAAGACATCTCCTTGATGTGGTATTTTAAGCAGGAATAATATCCTTTAATAGAGAATAGAGTTTAAAGTAAAAAGTAAAGGAGGTAATAAAATGTAACTTTATGATGTGTTTTTGTCAGAGAATTCCTTTATATAGAACACCATACCTTTTTAATTTCAGATTTCAAATTACAGGGGTTACTCTGCTGGCTGAAGAGGGATTTCTTGAATCTCTCTATAACCCTTCTTTTCAAATTGTGGTGCAAAGCTGGAGGAAGCTGTACAAAATGAGAAAACAATCATTATAACCAAATTCTCCACACTGCATTGCTGACTACCAGGAAGATTTTACTGATGTAACAATGTAACAATGACTAATGTAACAATATTTGCCCAATGGAACTAAATAAGAATTTAAAAGGTACTTCAGATTAGCATTACTACATGCTATAGTTTTTCATCTTACATCTAGAAGAACTAAAATATATTACTTTGCTTTCTTTCAAAAGTCTGCTTTCATTTATCTGGTCACTGTTATACTTCTTGCTATTACTTTTTATGTAATCAATATATCATTTACTAATTTCACAAATGTTGAGCTTTGCGAAGAACAGTCTTGATACAGAAGGCTGCAGTCTATCAGATATGTAGGTACTTACAGCCTGCCCAGAACCATGTTCAACACCCAGCCACTGCTCTGCTTCTGAAGGATCTTATACCTTGCACCAGAAAACACATAGCTACATTACCTCATAGTTAGTGGGCTGCCTGTTAGTGTTCCTGAAAATTCAGCTGAAGAGATTAAATTTTAAAGACCAATTTTATCCAGAAGAAATACAGAATAAATTATTATATACTAGGATGAGTTAGATTTAATAAATACATAGGAAATTATAGAATCTTATAAAATATGGTAATTGAATGAAACTTGGGAACTAAAAAACCTAATATATAGTGCTTTGCAGATCAAACTTATACAGGAGATTTAAGGTCCTCACAGCACAGAGGGAGAAGTTTGGGTGAAAGACAGCAGGAAAGAAGCAGGGTCAGAATTATAAGGGGTCTTAGGGTTGACATAATGTTTCATTTGGTTCATGGAGATCTTAACAGGAGAGGTGGAACCGGTAAGACAATAGATGGTTAAATGGAAAGGGGAAAGTGGCCGGAGGAGGTTAAGGTTTATAGGGGAGAATATAATTCAAACCCGGATAAAAAGAAAGAAGAATGATTCCACCTTACTCCATTTTCTAGGCTCCCTCATAGTTTTGGCTGCTGTCATGTGACTACTGGTGGCCAATAAAAATGATGTCCATCCCTCTAAGGCGGAAGCAATTCAAAACCAGTGCTTCTTGCATCTCTGCCCTCCCCTACAAGGAGCTTGGAGCCCATCTTCCTAAGTGACATATTCACAAGATGAAACAGGGCCACCTGGCAAGCCCAACTGTGAGAGAGAAATAAACCTATACTGTGTCAAGCCAAGATATTTTGGGGAACATGTATGAGTGATATACTTCACTATATCCTAAATAATAGAAGAAATGTCCATTAACTCGGGTTTCATGAAAGGACAGGATATTTAAAGGTAACAGAAGAGTAAAGAGTGGGGTCTATGGACCTCCTTGCAATGACTGACTTTATAGCCAAACATAACACAATCCAGGGCTAAATACAGAGCATTGTAATTAGAATGGTATAACACAGAAAAATAATGCATTTAAAATGGCTTTTAAGTACATTGTTAATCCTAGTACTAGAATCAAAGTAGGTTTAGTTAGGGAAGAAAATGGACTGCTCTGCAGATGTTGAGCCCTTCAATATTCTTTGAAAGGTTGTACAGTAGGTCAGCACTGCTTCTCTACTGATCTCCTTCGATGTCAGTATTACTGCTTTCTTTCACTTTCATCCAGCCTTGATTCCTCCCCACAGCCCCAGCATTAGTTACGTAGTGATACCTTGATACTCTTCATTAATTAGTTCCAGGAAGCTTGACAAGCAATAAAAACTATGAGTACCAAACAAATTTGTTTGGCTGCAAAGGGTAGCAAGCCCTGAGATTATTGATACCAACAAGTTCTAGCTTGAGTGTTGAGTACCAAATAAATGATGGGAACAGGGACAGTTTTCACATCAGAAGGCATCAAGCGCTAAATTTGAGGACTTTCACAGCAGTCAAACACCAAGGCATGACTGTAATTGTTGTTGTCTTTTCACATGGAAAAAGAAAAGGAGAAATCATATAATATGCAAGAGAGAGAAAGAGAGAGAGAGAGTTATTTCTCAGCATTAATGGGTAAATAGTTGAAGACAGATAATGGAAATGAGCATAAACAATATATATGTGAATGAAAGAATAACAAAAGAATGAATTTAACTTAGAGTAGAAACAAGCAATGAAGAGCAGAGGCAGGTACATACTTTCCACATAAGGGAACAGAAACGTGGGGAAAGTGCCTGGAGACACACCAGCTTTGATAACCCCACGAGTTTCACACCACAACCTGCCATCGCTCTAAATCAAACCCCAGAGGGAATGGTGGCCATGTCCCTCCAGTTGCTGCCCAGTGTAACTGCAACGTGAAGTCACAACAGGACGCACTGTCTGCTACCATTAACATGAAGCACAGGTTCCTTCACAGGTGTCTCAGCAAAGTACTATTTTCATTAGTTTACTTTAGATACTCTGAAAACTCTAACACTTATTTAATTTGGTAAGCCCAGCAGTCAATTTAGAAACATGATAACTGTACCTGGCAGCCTGAACTAATTACATAAAAACTCATTTTAGTAAGGTAATATTCAGGCAACTGAAGATGTACATACAGGGCACTATTAGAAATTACATTTTACTGGAATAATGATCATTTTGCTGGAATAATGATAGGCAGTGCCCATCTTTAAAATTTTCATGCAAGAATTTAAAGTTACAAAGAATGATGACTCATGTATAATCACAGATGATGTAAGTATAATAATATATTGAATACAAGAACTATAGTACTAAGAATAGAATATTAAAATCTATGATTCATACATGCTAGGTGCTACGATTACTCCTTTATGTGTGTTAGCTCACTTTTTCCCCACAACAAACTTGTAAAGTAAATACTATATAGATGAGGAAATCAGAGCTTATAGATCATAAATATTATGCAATATACTTTCGGAGGTGCTCAGTCTTCTAGCACAGTCATTATCCTAGAGCAGACACCATCACTACTAATATAAATGTAGAATAGCACTTTATAATTTATAAACATTTTCATAGCCTTTATTTTTTTCAAGACTCACAATAGTCCAAGATCTCCTATTTTATTGACAAACAGATTCTAGAAAACACAATCGTTTTATCAAAAATCACTCAGGTAAATGTGATTTACATCATTATGGTTTGTTTTACTGTTCACGAAGGTAAAAAAAAAAAAAAGAAAAAAAAGAAATATCTGTATGTTGCCTAATAAGCTTTTTTCAAACTTGTGTAATATATGGATTGTTTCTAAAGAAGTGAATTCTCTTCAAACAGTACATCAGCAGACCATTAGTAGTTCCCAGGGGTCTATTTGATAAATAGTAACCTAAATAGGATCACAGCAGGTTAGAGACCAACCTGGACAACATAGTGAGTTTAACGCCAACCAGAAATACATAGTGAGACCTTGTCTCAACAAAACAAAACAAAAGTTGCTCTATGCTTCTTTTAAAACACTTATTTAACAAAATGATCAAAATATAGTATAGAGTTAAATTCAATATTTAATTTGGTTGTTCAGGTCCTACCTAAGCAACGACACCTAAAGAATCACACATTGATGCTTTAATCACCTTATCAGCCCAATGAGAAGTTTTTGTTTCCAGCAATAGAAATGAGCAACTGACTCCATTCTTAGCTGGCTGGCGTTAAGATTACCATTTCACTCTTGATGAAAACAGATGTCAAATCAGTGAAGGCAGAGTAAGGACTTAACATCCTGCCTTTTAAAATAGTTGCTTTTAGATGATTTTCACAGATATATCTCCATGGAAACCAGACAGAAAAGGATACAACAGCCCAAAACACAAGTTTTCCAAGTAAGTTCATCTGTTGGTCATCATGAAGTACCCGGCTCACAGTTCAGGGCTGCTGCCGCATGTAAAGTATGAAAATTTGACCAGTAAATAAATATGAGATGGGCATTTGTTTATTTTGTCAATTCAGTCTTACTTTGCCATTAGCAGAGAGAAAAATTGATCTTGGTCTTTCACTTATAGCAAATACACTACTATAATGTTTAAGTTTGTATTCTTTTTTCTTTATATGAGATACTTTTGACTTTATTGAGTACTATACATTAAAGTTCCCCAGAGGGGAAATCATTCTTTCTTTCTGTGTAAAATGCCATGAACTTGAAAGTATTGTGAAAACTACTTTTAAAAACCACAATAGTCACATCCAAACTTGCAAGAAGGAATGCATGACATCCTGACAAATTATATCAAATCATTTGTTATGCCGTCAGCTTAAAAGCATAATAATAAGATATTTACAATAGCTTCATTCTTGCTTTAAAATGCTTTGAAATCCAATAAAGAAGTGGAACATATCCAGTAAGAGATTCTTATTACATAAAAGTTAGCAAGAGAGGCATAAATTTCAAAGAATATTTCTCTCAATAGTTAATAGTTGAGATAACTAAAAATTATTTCTAATACACTACTGTTAAGAATATTTCCCATATTTCTATATCAATATTTAAATGGAAATATACTTTAACTCTTTATAGATTTCACAGATTATATTTTGATTTATTAACCACACACAACCCCCACATACATACATATTCCCTTGTACTCCTTTATCACCATTCACTTAACCAGACCATCTTATATGATTGCCTAAGATGAAGGTTGGCAATAGAAAATGGAAAAGTAATCAATTTTAGAATCTTGCATCTGAAACCCAGCTCTATGGGAAATTGAAAGGAGCAACAGATTTGGGGTAAAACTTGACAGATGATACCCAGGCTGCTCAGCCCTAAGTGTAACGAAGACTCCTCAAGCTAAAGAGAAGAAGAAGTAAAAGACAAAGCCAGGAGAACTCATAAGTAGGTTGTCCAACCAACGAAGGAAGTCGGTCGTTTCAGCCCCAAGCTAAGTTTGCCAGTTGTCGATGTCTGCCAGCTCCAAGTCTTTTCTTGATTTTCCTGCTCGCGCCGTTGGAATATTTTTCCCTCACAAGCTGGTTGGATGTGAACCTCTTGCATCAGTTGGCTTTTCATAACCATGACAATATCCAACGCAAACAACTTAAAGGAGAGGTTCAGTTTGGTTCACAGTTTCAGAGGTTTCAGCCCATGGTCAGAGGACTCCAAGCCAGGAACATCATGACAGAAGGGTGTGGGGGAAAAAATTGCTTTGCTTCCTGACAACCAGGAACCACAGTACATGGGAAGAATGCCAGCAAGACATACTCTCCAAAGGTTTACCCACCATGCCTCAACTCTAAAAGGGCCCCACCTCTTTATAGCACATCTACTGATAAGAATAGCAACCCCAAGATCCAATCACTTTTCCGAAAGTCTCTTAATCCAGGCAAAGTGAGTTTGACCGTCACAGATCTACTGGTGGGGAGCACTAGAAGGATCCTACAGGAGGGAGCTGGTCTTGCTGGGTCCAGTGCTGCTCTTGTGTTGTCTTGCTCCCACAGCACACAGCAGCCAGCATGCATGGAACTCCTCGTGGTTAGAACTAATTCAAAGTCAAATTCAGTGACACCAACTTTGTAGGAGCTTACCAGAAATGGCCATGGAATGACACCTACTCTTTGGTAGCCTCTTTGGTTCCTAGAGGGTGCCTTCCAGCACAACACCTTGAGTGCCACTTCTCAGCAACTTCAATAGCATACTAATCACTTCAGTGGTTTGCTACGGTCCTCCACAGGGAAGCTTTCCTTCAAGTTTTTCCATCATGACAACTTAGCAAATTTCCCTGCCTTCTCCACTGAAGACTGGACCTCAACCCAGGATGGGGTAACCACTGTATGCTTGTCTTTTTCTTAGGCACTCTGACTCAGCCCTGGAGGTAGCGACTTCTCTTTACATTTTCCTATATTCTTTAGATATTCTTGTTTCCTACTTAGTAGATAATACCCTGTTATAGTTAGCAATTTCTGTACTAAAACTTCCTTGTTGATATTACTGATATAGTTCGGATCTGGAGTGTCCCCCAAATAAACAAAATTCAGCACTGGGCTTTGCAAGGGTATGATCAAAACAATTTCCCAATTCCATCTGGACTGGCACTTCTCCCAGGATATACCTAGAGCTGTATCTGAACCAGTGAGGATCCAGCCAGAAACCACACAGTAATTGCGTTAGTCAGCCACAGGCCTAAAGCAATAGGGCCAAGGGATCATGAAACGGAACCTCTGAAATCTGAGCCAACCTCTCTGTAAGTGTTAAAGGCCTAGCCCCCAGAAGGTGCTTTTGGGAGTTGGTAGAACTGTAAGATCTGGGGCCTACTAAGATGTCTTCAGGCCATTGTGGATGTGCCTTTGAAGGGGATAATGAGGCCCCTTGACCCTTCCTTTTCTGATCTTTCATAGTTCAGCCATAATGTGAGAGTTTTATTCCACTGTGTACTTTTCACATGCTGAGCTACCTTGCCAACAGGGCCAAGGGACCCTGGACTAGAACCTCAAAAATGCTGAGCCAAAATAAACCTCTTCATGGGTTGATTTTCTCTGGAATTTGTTACAGTGACGGAAAGCTGACTAATTACTGTGCAGTTTCTGGCTGCAATCTCCCTGGTTCAGACATGGGTTGCAGGAATGTCCCAGAAACACACCAGCACAGATGGAACTAGGGCATTGGTTTACTGTGCCCTTGGAACAGCCCGGGGCTGAGTTTTGTTTGTTTGTTTGTTGGCAATAGGACACAGGATGTCAGCAATTCATGGCAGACAGAGGCACCACAATGAATCGGGTTATCGCCTTGATAAAGTGCCAAGCGGAGCGAGCAGCTTGGAGGCCCCGATGGCCACTGCATTTGGCTGAGAGGCATAATGAAACTACAAGGACTGTGGGGCACGTGGGAAGGGTTCCTCCTGGTGCAGTGGAGCACTTAGAAGGAAAATGGCTGCTGGGGCTTTTAACTCCCAGTTCAAGTCTCGGCCTGAGACCCAGAGAGGTTCTGTGACAGCACTAAAAGAATCTGTCATTTTGTGCCACCACAGCGCCAGTGGGGCTGATAATCAAACAGAAAATTTAATTGGGCAGGTTACCAAATTAACAGTGTCAGTTGAATTTACACTTCATCAAGTTTTTCATCTGAAAGTTAGAAAAAAACAAATAATAGGATCCTAAAACTTGCACTAGGGACATCTTGTTGAACTCAGTTAAAACTGACACTCTGGATACCCAGGTCACTCCAAGCTCTCATTGTGAGCGTAAGTCGCTTTGTCACTTTGTGCCTAGAGAAACAAATTATCCTTTACTTGAAAACAATGCAATATAGACAGGCAACGTCATTGGGGTGTCTTTCAATTAGGATCAAATCCATAACCACAGTCAGACCTCAACACAATCCAGGGAAATTAGTACATCCCATAACTCAGGGGGAAACAGCTTCTAAACACAAGAATTGTAAAATTTTGCTACTACAGATCAGCAGGAACCCAGAAAACATGTGAAGAAGTATAGTCTAAGGACATTAAACCAAGAAAGGTAAAATATAGCCCTAGCTAGGGAAGATTTCATGGATATGAATGTGAGCAATAGAATTTACAGATTTAATGTGTTAGTTCATGAAGATGGAGGTGAAGCTTGGTTGGTTGGTTGGTTGGTTGGCTGAAACTTGTTTTAGTGGTGGCCTGCGTTTATTTTAAAGAGAATAATTTCAAAAACAATAAAAATGATACACAATTTTAAAACAAGATAGGAGATTAATAATGGTCATTATATTGCATATTGTTATCTTCAAAGTAGTTGCTCAGATTACCAGATACAGGCACGCAAGACTGATCGAACAATATAAGCACTAACTGTTCTTTTCAATGAACTAATAGAAATTAGTAGTACAATTATCTTAGTGATTGTGTGTGTGCATTTATGTGTGTGTGTCTGTGTGTGTCTCTATGTGTATATTTTCCCTTGCTTCTTTTCTCCTTTCCCCCATCCCAGTTGTTCTTTCCTTCTGAGCAGTTTCTTTCCCTTTCACAATATCTATTGTATCTTTTGGATTTTATTTACTCTTTCAGTTTCTTATACTAGGAAGAAAATACAATGTTTGAACATGTGGGTCTGATTCACTTTACTTATGAGTATGCCTGTGTTTAGTGAAGATGAAACACCAGCTCTTCTCTGGCATGTGTGGGAGAGAATTCAAAGGCTTGGAGAAAAAGAACCCTGGGATAAATTTACAATGTGTGATCTGCACACATGTTCCACAATCACATTCAGAAGAACACACAAAAGGCACTCCTTTTGATAAGGCACTGAGAAATAGACTGGAGAGGGAGGCCCCACACGCTCGTGCTCTCTTTTGTAGGCAGGTAGGACAAAGGCAGAGACAGGATTCCAATGTATGCCAGGTGACAGAATCTGACTGCCAGTGACAGGCTGGGGACATTTACTATAATGGGTAGAAGAAATATACTGTTAGTGAGAGTACCTTGGCCTTTAAAGATCTTTAGGGATCGTTAACTGACTGGGGAGGTTCCTGGAAAGGAAATTAATAATCAGCCTACTAGAGTAGTTTTGAGTCTAAATAACAGAAGAGAAGTTCTAGGTCTGCTAGAAAAAATCCACACTTGAGTTGCCATTGCCATGATAAGAAGTCACTGCCTCTCACCCACTTTCCAGACCTAAGTCAATTCAAAGGCCCGAAGCACCCTGGTTGATGGGGAAACTTCCCTTGAGGAAGACCCCAAAACATCACTGTAGGTGCACAGTATCAACTTTCCTCTGATGCCCTCCCAAAAGAGATTTGCACGCATTTATTAAATTGACTATTCCCTGGGGAAAGCAAAATAGGTAGGCTTTCTGGAAATACTAGGCACTGGTTATAAATAAAAACAGATAATTCCTAGAGTCTTATAATTCCACTATCTTGTACCCATGTGGAAGGTTTGGGTTTTATTTCTGTGGGGTTTTGTGGGAGGAGGGGTAAGGTATTCAGGTGATGGATGAAGTATTAGTCAGAGTTTGACTCACATTGAGCCCAGCTGCGTCTACTGACCTTATAGAATTTCTCTGCAGTACCTGAATGTACGGTTGGAACTGCCCGTATTGGCAACTGACAGCACCCCAACACTGGTTCTTTGAATCCTAGGGTAAGGATATGTTTGTTTTATGTTTTATGTTGTGGTATATCTGAAGTGCCTGGAATAGGCACATAGTGGGCACTATATATCCAATAAGACAATGAATGAATAAACTGTATAAGGCACACAACTTTCAACTTCAATGTATAGTGACTTTCCTATCCACATGTCCCTACTTTGTCTATGAAAAATTTATTTTTTACTTGACAGTATATACTTTTGGTGGATAAATATTCAAGTTGTTTTCACTTGACAAATTTCTGTCAATAATTAATAGCTGCTTTTCAGCACTGATTTTTTTTCTTCAATACCTAACAGTCACTGATACCTACAAAGTTTTTCTTCCCCTCCCCCCACCCCCTGGTACCGGGAATCGAACTCACAACCTCGCGCTTTCCAGGCGAGCGCTGTGCCGCTGAGCTAAATCCCCAGCCCCTTACCTACAAAGTCTTAACAATCCTGGATTTTGTATGATTTGGGATTTCACATCTCTAAGAGGTCCTATTGTCAACCTAGTGTCCTCCAGATTAGTAGGGAAAAAATGGGCACTACCTTTGCTTTCTTTTCTGTGGTAGATCTGCTTACGGAAAAGGAAGCCCAGCTCTGTTCCCTTTTTTACCTCTATACTGAAGGGCCATTTGTGAGGAAGTTTGCTTTTGTCAGAGAGCATGTTAGATGTCACAGGGAAACGCCACCATTTGCTATTTACCCTTTTGCTTTCCTAGGCATGCTGCTGACCCATTATGTCCTCACACATGTGTAGCTGAGAAGCACAAGAACAAGTATTTACTCTAACTGAGACTTCCATAAACCAGTTCTTCAGCAATATTAGTGCCAAACTGTGTAGAAAGTAAAAAAGAAAATAAAACGCTAGCACACCGACCTGCGTGATGTAGATGACTTTGTGCAGCTGAATTAATATCTGCTGAATAGGATCACTGATCTGGCGCACTTTCCTCTGGGACACGGCAATCCCTGCAGATGCTGCAGGTAATAAATTCTGTAGTTAGTCAAGTTTTCTTTTAAAAGCGGTATTAGTGGAAAAATGGGCTAAAGTTCTGAAAAAAAAAAAAAGTAAAGCAATGACCTCATCCTACCAGTAAGACAACATGCAAGATTTTATTTTATGGAATAAAGTATTTTCCTTTCATTTCTCAGGCTTCTAACTAACATAATGATGCTATTTGTCATAACATTTGAAAGGCCATTTATCTCCTGAACATTTTGTGTGCAAGCATAGCAGAAAGTAGTGGTGCCTTGGGTACTACAGCCACTCAAAAGCTTGGCTGCGGAGGACAGTGAAAAGGCCATCACCTTTTTAATTTTTACATTCATAACGCCCTCCATAGTATACTAAAACGAATTTATCCAAACTACTTTGCGGAGCAAAGAAACAAACGTTCTCTTAACTACAACTTAGTAACTTTCAAATCCTTGATTATTATGAATTATAATTTCATCTGGATTTCTCTGTAGGTCTAAGTTGGACATGCTTAATTTATCTGAATTTTCATTATGAAGCCCCATCACCTGCAGATTCAGGCTAATGGGTGTCAGGTTGTACAAACTGTTTGTCCACCTCTGATGATTGTGTGTTCCAGCCTTAAACTGAGGAATAAAAGCTATATAAAGGAATGGCTTAGATTCCTGTGTTACCCATGAGGTCACCTCTTCCCCCTCTTACCCATGGACCCACAGTGGAGAAAACGGAGGAGACACACGTGGATGTACATTTCCTTCCTCCTCTTCTCCTTCTCCTGCCCTTTCTCTCCCGCTTTTCAACCTTAGCACAATTTCTACATTACTCTTTCACCAATCTCCCGTTTTAAAAGTCGCTAAGACTCATTTTTCTCCTGTCCATACAATGAGTGCATATAAAATTAAGTTTGAATATAATCAAACTTAGCAGTAACTAAGATTTTTTAAAAATTATCCAAAAAATGCTTACTAAAAAAACTTGCATATTTTACCTGAAATATTTTGCTCTCAAACATTTAAAGAGAATATTTAGAGTGGTCATTTAAAATTGTCAACTTTGATTTATTATAACATGAAAATTTACATTTAAGGCACAAAAATAATAGAATGAAACATAGACATCCTTTTTTGCAGGTATCTCATACTGAGTTAGTTGAAAAATCAGCACAACAAATAATCTAGTCCTTGTCATCTGCAGTTAATATGTGTTGAATACCTGGAAGTAAAGAATTTAGTGCCCCTGTATATTGTATCTCACTTTTTAGCATCAATTTTTTGACCAATAAAATGAAGTTTAATAAATTATACTTTGCTTCAAAAGAAGGATATAGGTAAATCAGAAGGAATTATGTAATTATAAAATAGAAAACAGAGCTGGAGTTTTCTGCCTTAGCTTACAGAGATTACCATGTGTACAATGCCTTATTTTCCACGTAGTATTTTCTCCTTCCAGAAATAAATCTCTCCTGGTTTCTTTGTCTAGATCCATACCAAAAAATGGAGACATTGTCATGAAGCCAAGTTGATGCTGCTATAGGAACATTACATTTGTATTTTCTGAAAATGATAAGCTTGAATTCTGGTCCTTTTTTTTTACTATTATTTATTTGTACACATAACACTCATAGGTAACAAGTGAAAATCTCACAGCGTGCAGAGTTCTTAGGTTTGCGAGGATTTTGTGAATGGCTTACTACACAGGCTTGACTCTAGCTTGCCACAAGCCTGTGCTCATCTGTGACCCTAAACACAAAAACAAAGAGAGTTAGCTAGAATGTCTGTCTTCTCAACTTACTGAGCAATTTAACTGAAAAATACTTTTTTGTAAGTCTCTTTTGACCACTATTTTCTCAATCCCAGTAAATCTTTGACTCTGAAAAATAGTTTTGCATACTCTCTTTTAAAAAACCCTAAATGTTTAATTACTCTTGCCTCTTATAAAACAAGCAAAGAAACAATAACATAAATATCACAGATGAGGCTCAGGCCTCCTGGGAACCACCACCCACCACAGGCACCTCCCAGGAGTAACGTCTGATATTGGCTTAAATGCGGCACTTTCCAGCCCCCTTTCTACCCATTTACATATGTGTGCATCTCAGAAGAGAATTTTCCAAACTGCAGTTAAGCCCTGAAGTCAATTTAATGGGTTAAGATCAGTACTTTGACAAATGGAATGAAATGAACCAGAACAGGACAGAACATTTTCAGAGTACAAAGTGTGGTAGGAGTCCAATCCATCGAGATATAAAATGTGTTCCTTATTGAGGCCCCTTTCCAAGAAAGTTTGAAAACTGCTATAATAGAATATCTAGTCTCTTTCCCTCCCTTCCTTCCTTTTTTTTCTTTTGTCCCCCAATCTCTCTTTTTCCTCCCTCCCTTCTTTTTACACTGAATGGTGAGATATCACGTCATAGAGACATTTTTATAATTTTTAAGTCTCTCTTTTTATATCAACACACTCAGTTGTAGCTCATTCCTTCTAATCAGTGAATAATACTGCATACCTTGGTTGTGTCATAATTCCCGGGACCTTAATGTGCTTTCAATTTCTCATGATACCGCAGCGAGTATACTTGTGATGCCTCATTGTGCGTAAGTACAAGAGTTCTTTTAACAGTAATGGAGATGTGAAATACATGCGCCTTAGTAATGAACATTTCTTATTATACTAAATACATTTTAAATTGGCTGAATCATTTTATACTCTCACTAGAAGAGAACTCATTTGTTTTGCACCTTCATCAAAACTACATACTAACAAATATTTCAGTTGTGCTGATCTGACCCTTCTCTATTCTGTATTATTTAAATGCTAGTGAGATTATTGTTTTTTACCATTTTTTTGCATTTTATCTTTGTTTCTTATTCGTTTGCATATGTCTTTACATGTTCTAAATGCGTATCCTTTTACTGTATTTTATATATTAAAAGTATTTTCACCTTATCTCTTCATTATCTTTGATTTAAAGGGCATTTCCCACTTTGGTTACCCAGACTCAGGCAATTTTTAGCCTCAGGTACTGCTGAAGCAGTCTCATAGGTACCTACTGCTATCATATTATGGCAAGTGGCAAGCCTATCATTTATTTAGGACTACTAGGGACTCTGGCAGGATCATTAAACTGTGGAGTTCAAATAGGGAGAGAAAGAAAATTTGAGCCAAGGAATGATGTGCAAAGTGTCAACCTGTAACATCTGCAAATTCTTGAGTTCCTGGACAACAGCTAATTCTTGGCATGAGATTCATTATTCCTCATTTTCACCCATCAAATACTCATAGTTTTTATATCCTCCTATCTCAAGATGAATGGTAATTCATCCCTTAATAATTTTAGAAAAATAAAATGATTTCAAAACCCAAATAAATATTTCATTTTTATTCTTTACTTAATTATGAACACCCAGTTCATGGCAAATGTTATCTATATCATTTTACATAGTTTTAAAGCATTTTACTTCAGATTAGCTCATTAATAACACTATATTCCAGGGTCAGGGATACAGCTCAGTGGCACAGCACTTGCCTGTCAAACACAAGGTCCTGAGTTCAATTTCTGGTACCAAAAAAAAATAATAAAAACAATATATTTCATAACTATTCACAAAATGCAAGATATATTTTGTACTAAGAATATTTTTATTAAAACAATTTTCTTTTGCAATGACAAGTTCCACCACAAAAAGAAAATAAGAAAAAGAAAAGAAAAGGGACATCAATGTGGCTGATGATCGTAGCATAGGTACAATGTCAATTATCTATAATATGCTTAGGGTTTATATCTATGTGATACAGTTTGCCCTACTGCATATATGATCTCAACATGTAATTCTATTGCAAAATAGGGGTTTTAACAAAATCAAAGTTCAGAATAAGGGAATACTTTATATTCTTTTATAGCTTTTATTAAAATAGTAAATTTAATTAGTGTTGTAAATCCTAGAAGGAAACTACAAAATTCCTTAGGAGGCCTAATTATATAATAATTATATCTGCTTGCTTACTCCATGGCAAGCATGACACTAAACTGCGGGGGCTCTTTTCTCCTCTGGAGTGTCAGGTAAGAGAAAATGATGCTCTATTAGTATGAATGTAGGAAAGACACTGGAAACTTTTTACACAGTTGGTGTCATCTAATCCACACAACTATCCTGAGTGGTAGCTGTTGTACCCCTATTTTACAGATGAGAAGACTGAGTGCTGTGATTTGGATGATTCTTTCCCTATAAACTCAATGTTTAAATCCTGAGCCCCAGAGCCATGGCACGGGGAGGCAGCGGGAGGTGGCTAGGTCATGCAGGCTGAGCCCTCCCAAATGGGACTAATGCCTCTATAAAAGAGACCCCAAGGATTCAGTTAGCCCTGTGACCAAGCAAGGACACAGCTGAAGGAACCATCCATGAGCAGGAAGTAGGCACGCACCAGATTAGCAGGAACCTTGACCTTAGTCTTGCTGTCTCCATTACCATGAGGAAACAGTCTCCATTGTTTATAAGCCACTCGGGTTATGGCTGTTTGTATTAGCAGCCTAAAATGATGAAGACACTGACCCATCATGGGACTAGGGAATTTGGCCAACCAAAACCAATAGCAAGTGAAAGCCAGCACCTGAAACCAGGCGGGCTCTAGAACACTACTACAGTGACTCAGGGCAGAGGTTTGCAGCGCTCCTAAACTTTCACAAGGAGGCTGTGTGATCACAGGTAGCTCCTTTGGTTACTGCAAATATAAAATAATATCTGTATCCCTTCCCAGCCTAAAGCTTTCTACTCTTATGAAAAGACTTGCTTCTTTTAACCTGATATTCTGACTATACCTTGAATATCAATTGACTAGATATTTTTGTAAAACACACGTGTAATAAATTGGAAACCTTAAGTCTTTATAACCACATAGTACACTATATTCTGCTTTTATTAATTGTGTAGCACATTAAAATAGCCAAGGAAGTTGCCCATCTCTGGTGCTTTGAGACTTGGTTTATAGTATATGCCTGCTTTACTGA